CACGTAACCGTCAACATAACACAGCAAGACAATGTCATGTAACCGGCAACATAACACAGCAAGACAATGTCACGTAAACGGCAACATAACACAGCAAGACAATGTCACGTAAACGGCAACATAACACAGCAAGACAATGTCACGTAACCGGCAACATAACACAGCAAGACAATGTCACGAAACCGGCAACATAACACAGCAAGACGACGTCACGTAACCGGCAACATAACACAGCAAGACAATGTCACGTAACCGGCAACATAACACAGCAAGACGAGGTCACCACGATTCTGCCTGGGCATATGTTAGAATACTGAGAAATAAAGTCATGTAGCATCGGTCCGGAAAGCAATGAAAATCTATTGTTTTAAACTTGATGACCAAATAAAAAATAACAGTAGTAATAAAATGTGATTTGCGTCTTGTGAATAACTGCTGAAAAGGGAACAATGAGTCAAGGACATTTTCTTCAATTCGTTCAACGGTAATATCACTGATGACAGCAAATCAAATGCAGATGTAATGAATGGATGTTCACAGCAGTGAGCGACAGCGCTCCCTGACCAAGATCCTCCTGACGTCGACTGACTGACTGACTGACTGAGTTTAGTTTTACGCCGCTTTTAGCAATATTCCAGCAATATCACGGCGGGGGACACCAGAAATGGGCTTAACACATTGTGCCCATGTGGGGAATCGAACCCGGGTCTTCGGCGTGACGAGCCAACGCTTTAACCACTAGGCTACCCCACCGCCCCTCCTGACGTCGAATAAACCAAGCAAGTATATATGCATGATATTGTCCTCACATGCAATGAAGTTTTAAAAGATGTTCTACTGTCTGCAGACTCAGCTAAAGTTGCTGGACCCGTCCGTATTAGCAAAAAAGTATTAAAAAACGTGTGCTAAACGCATTCTTTAAGTTTTTGAAAAGTGTGTTTTAAGCACGTTTTTAATCATTTTAGAGACAACAATAAACATCCAGACCTACAGTCTAGTTTTATGCCAGGGGATTCTACTGTTTATCAATGAACATGTTTAGGCTTATCAATGTCACAGCTGTGGTCTTCAGAGATCAGAGTCTCGTACCAGTATCATTTCCGTTTCCTCAACGACAAGGCCCAGGATTGACATTCCAACGGAACAAAGCCCATCGCCACCCTGGCGTTGCTATGGCGTTCCTTAAAACAGACTTAAACTCAGAATAATAAGTTGGACATTGTAGAAAGTTTCCGATCTTGGCATGTTATTCACCAATACTGGTAGTGCAGGGGCTTATGTAGCAAATATGCTTTCCGTGGGAAGTGCATATTAAGTTTTGGAACCACTGATAATTGTGATCAGTATTGCATATGGATTCAGAAAAAAACATGGTTCATTCTGGGGTAACTGAACATCGGTACCCATAATCGAGATGCAACACCAAAGTGAGAAAAACATATTTTTATAAACATATCACAACATAGGCATGTAGTATGTCAAAATGTACCTTGTGATGTGTGTTTTACAACTACCACTATATATCATGAATCTCAAGAATATAGGAATGCATAATAATCACTATGATCATAATTCTGCCATTCTGCCAAGGAATTCAACCCTGAAGTGTTTGTTGCAGTGTGTGTGTGTGTGTGTGTGTGTGTGTTTGTGTGTGTGTGTGTGTGTGTGTGTGTGTGTGTGCATGCATCTTTACTCAAATACTACTAGATGGATTCCAATGAAACTTTCTGGATCTCTTTGGTATGTCCCCAGAACAAATCAATTAGATGTTGAAAAGAACATTCTTCAAAAAACAAGAAACGCAAAAGCAAAATATCATTCAAAAATTGGGCCTTATTCAATTATGTAAATCAACGAAAATAAACGGTACCGCATTGAAATTATGTAGAGCAATACGATGGTATCTCGTGCACATTTCGCAAGAATGATAGTCATCATAGTCATTATTGCAGATTATTATAAGGGTAATGCTATTTTTGAGGGCATTATCATTTGCAGAAGCCCGAGGTCTTCCATTAACTGAAATAATATTGGCTTTCTTGCTGGTGCTAACCTTAGCAATTGCACTATTAACGTTGTTGTTGGACCAAAACCGAACACTGACAACTGACCTTGTGCCTGACATAGTTTGACATGTTGCAGGCCATGGTCTTGTGAAAGGCCAAGGTCGAATGTCGTCACGTTCTGTTGTGACGTCACTTGAATTGTTCGATGACGTAATTGCATTCGGTCAGTCAACCCCGTCAGAAGCACATTCCGGCACAGCGATGACTTAACATAACATCACTGCCACAGGCTAATTTGCATATCACGTGACCGGACTTTTCTCTTGTTTGTAATCAAACGCGCATATTCATAATAAGAAGAGACTGGACTCACGAGAGCTTTTCGGTGCTCTCTTCATAATGTTTTACGTTGTTACATATATATTCTTCCACAACTGCGACAGTTAGGTCTATGACAGTACATATTTAGATATCAAACTGGCTGCATCGTTTGCTCTCCGTCGGGCAGTTAATGGAAGACCTCGGGCTTCTGCCAATGATAATGCACTCAAAAATAGCATTACCCTTATATTATTGACATAGATTGAATCAGTTGTTGGATGTTTCGTTGTGGAATCCTTCTCCATTCCTCCTGCAGCATGTTGTACAACAGTTACTGTTAAAGCCTCAATGGCTGATTACGACGTTGACGTACACATTTATCTATCTGATCCCACAGGTAATCAATTGGTTTCAGATCCGTGGATCTGGAGGGTCAGGGGAGGACATTGATGTTGTTATTGTCCAGGTAGTCCACTGTAGCTGTGTGAGGTCTGGCGTTGTCCTGGTGGTACAGCTCTCTTTGGCAGTCGACAAGACGATGCACGTGAGGACAGAGAATCTGGTCGGTATATCTCGCGGCCGTAAGATTGCCTTGGACGAGCACCAATTCCGACCTGCAGGTGTATGAGATGGTTCCCCACATCATCACATCATCTCCACCAAATCTGTCCACTTGCCTGATGCAGTTGGATGCAAAACGTTCATTGCGTGGTCTGTCGAAACGTTGTCTTCCGTCACGTCGCTTGAGGTGCTACCGCGATTCATCACTGAATCATATGTGCCTCCAGTTTCCAAGGTTCCATGGCTGCACCGCGTTACACCACCTGACTCACGGACGTTGATGTAATTGTGTCAGAGAGGGGGCAACTTCTGGATGTCTGGCGCGCATACCTACCTCTCGGAGATGGTTCCTGATAGTCTGGTTGGACATTCTCCGGGCTCCAAACCGTTCTTGTGCTGTGTCCCGGGCAGAACGAATGCAGTCACGTAGGTGGGTTACCCGGATGTAGCGATCTTGGGCTGTGTGGTGACTCACGGTCTTCCTGGTCTTGGATGGTCATCTGTCGAAATGGAATGCACAAAGCTATCCCACAAACGAGTTTTTGTGCTAGGATGAATGCTGAAGGTCCTCGCCACGACACTCTTGGATTCGCCAGCTTGTAATCGCCCAATGGCAATATTTCGGTGGGCACCGTTCAGACGTCCCATTTTCTCATCCAGTATTTGCAAGGGTCTTGGATGAATTTGCGAGATGCATTTGGGTCTTTTATAGTCATAGGTTGCACGCGAAAAGCAATAATTGCGGCCTTTGGTTGTGTTCCATACCAGTCAAGCTCATCATGACAATCATGATCCATAAAATCATTCAAAATCATTTACATGTATGCTTGCATTCGCTCACTCATGTTCTTCTAAACCATACCAACAACAATATTCAACCCTCAAAACATGCTTAATTTGACATTTGCGTACAAACTTTCTTTTTCAAATTTTATTTTGTGTTTCTCTTTTTTAAGAGTGTATGTTAAAGTACATGTACACAGAGGTACTTTGAAAATAATCGCAATGTTAAAAATCAATGGAGAATATGAATAATATCTCAAAAGTTATGGATAGATTTGAATGAATCTTGGTGGTTATGTTAGGTATGACACAGGGGCTATCTACGTACGGTTTGGTGAAAGTACATTAAAGTACAAGTACACAGTAGTACTTTAAAAATGTAATAGTGAAAGGAAATTGCTGTGCAAGGCGGAGGCATGTTCTCTAACGAGGGCCCTTCTAGTTTCCAAATTAAGAGAAAAAAAAGAATTCATGCATGTGTTTGTATGACAAATAATGTCGAAGCTTGTATTTCAACAGCATATTTTGTTCTTGCAGGTGAAAAACGGATTGAATGACTATGCAATTTTCTTAACAATGTGAACGTTAAAATAAAGATACTCGTGCACATTATATATTGCACTTGCATACCCACTTGTAATATGTAGTTATCTGTTTACTGTGATATAATTTGTCACTCCTGTATTAATACATTCAGTTTGTATTGACTGCAGATTTGGCTTTATGTCATTTGTCATTTAATTACCCAGACACGAGTGTCAGTGTGTCAATTCTGACTGTACTGGTAGGCCTGATTTGACACTTGTGCACGACTATATGATAGTCACATTAACCTTATCTGGGTACTATTATTACTACGTACATAAGTGTGTCATGGTAGTGTATATTATGAAATGGGAGAATACATTGATTGAATAAATGGTTTCCATTAATATAGGCCAATACTTACAATGTTGGTGACCGATGAAGGGAAGACAATATTTGATTAATTTATATGATTATGTCATAGTTTATGTCACCAAATTGAAATTAGAAGCATATTATGTGGTTATCTGTATGTCATACATCATAAGCGGCCTTTTGATATGCTACATGACTATGTCCTCGAATTATCTTACTATTCACCTACATGGGAACTTTTCATGGTTTGTTATATTTTCAGGTTTAGAAAGAATTTTAGCAAGTATATTACCACGTGGTTATATACATTAGCTTAGTGCAGAACAGACAATAAACACAACATAATAACATAATTGGTATTTCCGTTTTCACCCTGAAACTTGGGGCGTTTTGATCAAATTGCCCCATCCGTTTTGGTGCAGGTCCGTTTTCACTTGCACTCGAGTTAGTACGATACATGTTTACATTCGCAACAGCAAAAATGTCAGCGGGTAACTCAAGAATGAATTTGGTATAGTATAATTTTTTAATTTTAACATGGTGTACAATTCTGCAAGAGTGCGTTAGTGGCATTCCCTACCAGTATACCTCAGTGAAACTCCTAGAACCGTCCCTTGAGGCAAACCAGTAATTGGGACGTAGATCTAGATCTAGGACTAGATGTTGAACTTTCCTTCGTTGTGTACCCAAAAATCTACCACCGTGATTCTATACCCAAAGTATTTTTGTACACCTTCATATGTAACTCCAATTAAGACTGTTGTCGCCCATTACCACGCGCCGAAGATTTTGTGTCAGAAAACTATGGTGTGAGCCTGAGTGAGATATTCAAGTGTTTGTCACAAGCTGTAAGTTGTTCTGTTGTTGCAGCTGCTCGCAGCTGTAGTCCCTTGTCCTACACACTGTCCCAGGAGCAGACACAGCTATTGGATTAAACCTGCTGTGTGAACATGTTTAAGATGATGTGTTTCCCAAACTTCACTGACATGCTTCCCTTAAAAGGAAACAAAACTCCAGCTTTGTAATAATTAGAAAAATGGATCTGTTGTTTCTTTGCAGAATACAAATTTGCTTATTATGGACTATAATTTTGACATGTTTCTTGTGCTCAAGACCTGTGAAGATTCAGGTTAGAATTGGTGTTCAGCAACCCATGCTTTTTGTAAGAGGTGACTAACGGGATCGGGTGGTCAGGCTCGCTGACTTGGTTGGCACATGCCATCATATGCTCATTGCGTAGATCGATGGTCATGGTGTTGATCACTGGATTGTCTGGTCTAGACTGGATTATTTACAGACTGCCGCCATATAGCTGGAATATTGCTGTGTATGGTGTTAAACAACTAACAAACCAACTTGTGTTCAGTGTTATTCATTGGCGCTGCACAAAGCGACACCTATTGGAGGACAGAAGAATGAGATGGTCTCTGTCATAACAAGAATGGGAGAGAAAAATGTCTGTCAAAGATGGACTGAAGGTGGCTTTGGGTGATCAGTCAGTAACTGTGCTCCGAACTGTGCTAATCGAGGTGGAAGCCGTACTCAATTCAAAGCCACTAGGCTGTGTGTCTACTGATGCCAAGGATGTTGACTCTATAACTCCTAACATTATATTGATGGGACGTAGATAATGCACACCTTCCACAGGTACTGTGTATCCTGCTGATGAGCTTCTTGGTCGGAAAAGGTGGCGTTATAGCAGACCAGATGAACCTGACCACAACTTGATGTGTAATGTCTTGTCATGACTGTTTGTTTCCTCTGGTGAGTCGGAAGAGTCTGCAGGGTTGGTTCTTCAGCTGTCCCTGTCACACACCAGGAAGTCTACTGACTTGTGGCCAGATTAATCTGCTGACCAGCATGTGCCAACAATCATATCAAATGACTGTGACCATGAAGATGAAGATGTTAAAGCAGGGCTCGATTTAGTGCTTTGTTACTTGCACTGGTGCAACCCAATATTACAAAGTGCAACCTAGTTATTAGTCTAACTTGCACCAGGTGCAAGTCATTTTTTGAGAAATCAACAATAAATCTAACAATATCAGCATAAATATGTCAGCTCCATTTTGTTCTAAACTTTGAATAGCTATGGCAACGAAACATTGCTATTCATAAACACGTCGCGGCTATGATAGCTCAAGATTGTAAACAGGGATCAGCTGTGTCTCTGTGTTGCTATGGTTTTAATGGTACTACATGACAGAAATATGTTTATGTGCACCGAAACCTCTGATGTTTTAACACATTACGTTGCAACTGGAATTTGGCTGGTGCAACTAGGTTTTTATCTTAGGTTGCACCTGGTGCAAGTAGGTTAACATATTTTAAATCAAGCCCTGTAAAGTGAATGTCACATTCATTTTGTGTCAAGCCAAAGTTTGTCCAACAATTTTTAGGCGGCTGTGTTATAAAAGATAGTAGTCCTACAGGTTAAAATATTCCTCTTTTGGTTTTGACTTTCCACATACCATTCCCAGTATTATATAGATGGCAGCCTCCACAACATTCTGTTGCCACATGCTCTGGACAATACATCCTTGAAACTGTGTTGAAAGTGTTTGTGTGTGAAGGTTTACTACATAGCAGACAGTATACAACCATGTTTAGGGGTGAAAAGAAGTGTATGTTCAGCACTCTTATGACTGAACTGTCTAAGGGACCGTTCATAATTTATGGCTAGGGGGTGATGACGATTTTAAGGGGAGGTCACCCATTTTGTTCTGGGGAGGTGGGGGGTGGGGTGGTGGTGTTAATCAATTTTGTATACATGTACTAGGGGGTCAGCAGTTTTGTACATAAAAATATTTTAAAAAGGTTATGATTAGGCCAGACCAATTATATTTCTTGTTTTACAGATCCGCCGGTCGTATTTTTTCAAGAATAAGAAATTGTATGGCACACATGCTCGTGTAAAAATCTCTATTTATGGGAGAACAGGGATTTACGAGATGTGAATTCCTGCATCCTATACGCATAAAAAATGACAATGGACGCAGCGAAATATATTAAGGTATCCATAGGGATGCAGAAAAAGTCCAAATACTTTTTTGTAAAAATTTCGATCAAGTAACAATAAGTTATCACAGAGTCTGCTACTAGCCAGGTTATGGTATCATTTGCAATTTAATTACTGTAACAATGTGATGATTATAATACACTGTACAATAACAAACCCAATAACAGTAACTGAATTACAACAATATTACAACATAGTGTTAATAATAATATTGAAGTGTCTTGCACTCCCATTTTTAGTCCAGGACCCCTGAAAATTAAGAGTATGAGTCCCAGGAACCCTCAAATATAGGACGCAAGGTAAATCCCTGGGAGAACACATTCATTCTTAAGAAAACATATCATAGAGTATTTAATAGTTTGAACTGGATCTCCATGTGCTGTTTATAGCAGTGTTTATTCTAGATCATGCCCTTATGCCATTCGCGCACTAATATTTAACATGGTGTACTGTACAGGTATGGGCGGGTCGTGTCGGCCCATCCAGAAACGCATCACGAATTTGTTTTCGCTTGGCAACTCGTGCAAAAGTCAAGTACGTCTTTGAAAAAACAACAATACATCTATTCTCATCAAAACAAGTTTTGAGTACTCTGAACTTTCAACCCGTGTTTAGAATGATTGAACAAAACCTGTAAATCGATGTAATAAGAAAAACCAAAGCGCCTTGTAAAATTGGTTGCGATAAGGCGGTTTCATTAAAGGTCACATGCAACCAAAAAATCAAACATAATTAAAACACAATTATCACTTATTCATGACATATAATATACATTGCTGGTTATGAAAAAAATCATATAAACAAAATTGCAAGCGTACAATCGCAAATCAAAAGTGCAATATTGTGTACTTGGGTTGACTTCCAAGGAAACGAAGCAGCCGGGATACCGAACCCAGTCAGAGCGGGTGGGTGTGCACTCAAGTGTAACGGCTGGTTCATTTGTGTATGCCCTCACGGCTCATTGTGTGTGTATATATAGAGATGTTGGGTTTAGTAAATACATGCTCATTTTTTGTGTATAACATTTTGCAATCAACAGACATCATAACATGTCATGTGTTCAAGTATCACACCTGCCTGTCTGTGTAATTACATAATGTGACAGAGACCGAACTCGGGCCATAAATCAATGCGTTTTGTTTATGGTGTATATAGCCTGATTGGTGTTAAGTTCAAATTGCATGTGGTCAGTGATCGCAGTTGTGTATTGAATATTGTCATTAGCAGACAGGCAGGCAGACACATAGGTGTCAATAAAACAAGACATTGACTTTTGTCTGTGACAACGACATATCTATATCACAGTTAGAAATTCTGTCAACGCTAAATAATGACATTGCTTTTAAGTATCGAACTGAGAAAGTGACTCGGTAAGAAGAACGTGTGGTGAAATAGACAAATGAAATTATATAAAAAGTTTATTTACTGTCATAACATATAAAGAGCTCGCACCTGTGAGATATCAACAAAACATTAGGAAAATAGCTCACACCAAAGCCTTCACCGAGTATTCACTGGACAGCCCGCTTCCAAGTTACGCGAACCTATTTCACTGCGCACGTGCTATGAGCTCAGCCCAGCTGTTGAAACCAGTTTCCCCCCGAAAAGTCGGGGGAAAATAAGTGAATCGTTTGAACTCCGATTTCGCGCAGGTTTTTTCATCACGTTATTTTTCAACTTTATAAGTTGAATTTGCATTTTTCATGATTTGTTTCGGTAAGTCCATACCGAAAGGTATCAGAATCTGAAAAGTTGTGTTTTACGTTGCATGTGACCTTTAAGAGAAACAATCTGTTTTGCATGTTTAAGTTTCACAGTTTTGTTGCCTTGGGGACACATCGTCTGTAAACTGCTGATACCAGTTGGAGCATCTTACATTTTTCATGAAAAAGCAATGAACATGTGTTCGTTTTTTTATAAATATATGCAGGGATAGAAATACTTTTTTTTCTAAGTGTGCCTTAGGGCACCAGACAAATATTTTAGGTGTGCCTTTCAGAAATTGAGTATGCCCACATGTTTTTAGAATAAATGACAATGATGATGATCATTTGAAATTTATTGTTAAATAAAAAAATGGGTTTATGAGCATTCAAATATGTATGGTATTATTTAATTTGGAAAAAAATAATTGTTTTGGGGATTAAAGGACTAAATGTGAGTTATGTCACTGAAAAATCATGCGTGTCAAAAGGGCACCGAGAACATTTTTTAGCCGTGGCATTTCAATATTTGCCGTGCCATGGCACACTAATATATGGGGTATTTCGCACCTTGATATGGTTCCATCCTTGCCAGTGGCTATCATTAAAACAAGCAGCAAATTGTAAGATGTGCATTACCCTGCAGATAAACACTGTGTTTACGGGGTATGGTTAAGTTCAAGTTGAGAATTTTGAACCAACATAACAGGTATCCTTGTGTTATTGGGTTTCAGACGCTTAAACATTCGTCAACAAGAACAATTGTAAAACATGTCAGTAACCAAAAACATAATCCGACAACATTAATGTATTAGCCACTGTCAGACTAATCATAATCATAAGAATCACTGTTCAGTGTTGAAGTGTCCAGCTGTTTTCAAAGTGTCAGGTTTAGTGTTAGCCGGACTAAGAAAACTGTTTAATCACTATTGGAATGTTCAGTTGAGTTGTCAATGAACATACAGATTGGGTTCATTTATAGTTTATTATTTATTCATATTTTTCAAATACTTTATGATGTTAACTGTTTTTTTAATGTGTTGAAAAATCGTTTCTCTTGTTGACCTCACCTGGATTGAAAGTTTAAAAAAGAAAGTGAACTCATACTAGTAACTAGTAGCGTATGGCTAAAGCATCACAGCAACTTCACATGACCGTCAATATTTTCTAATATAACTGGGGCGGGTGGACCGAGGGCTCACTTTTTAGAAATGCTGGCATGAACACAGGTATAGAGTTACACATGTCAAGCATACTCACATGTGAGATTGGATGACAAGGTGGGAAGCTATATATTTCCATGTTTCTGTTGGACACTGATCATCTAGTTCTCATACAGTTCGCCATAGACTGTCTGGCAGTTGTAGATAGAAGATTACGTTCTGGAGTTTTGTCCCCTCTGACATTAAAGTTTGTACATCAGTAATCGCTTTGGTATTGGGCCTTGCTTTGGGAAGGCTTTGATGAGAATATGTGAAAGGTAATAATATTGTCAGTTTTTGAGACTGGTCATCTTTATTGGCATAAATCTTATATCTATGTTTTCTTTACCAATCGGAATGTTGGTGGAATTTGTGTCTGTGGTCAAAGCCATCTTTGAGGTTGTTGGGAAACATGGTTGTATCATTGATGGCCAGTTAGTGATGCACGTTTACTTATACCGTCCTACACTTTAGTAATTGTTAGATCTTCACAGGGTGCTTTTATTAAGGACAAATTCTTAGAGTAATGTATGTGGACAGGCAGTATATGTTTGTGCGAGGAGTTTTCCAATGAATGTGATATAATTGTTGTGAATGTAACAAGTGGTATCTTTATGGTTCCAGGATGATGAGCCCTCAGCGTCAGGAAGATCTCGGTTAGCTGGAGCAAGGACTAAGCCGTCCAAACAGACCTCTGCTGATGACATCCGCACTAAAGAAGAGCAATACAAGTACAACATCTTTCTTCTTTAATACTCATAATGATATTGAGCTTGAATTGTGTTTTTTAGTATTTGTCCAATAGATTTAACCTGTGTTGGCACATTTTGTTGCAAACACCATAATTTTTCCTTATCCTGACTCATGTTCTTTTGCTTATCTCCCTTTCCCTTTCGAATGGTAGTGGAACACTTGAATCCCTTGAAGTTCCTGAAGCAGACGTATAAATACTCACCCACGAGTTACCTCCCTTGCCCTTTTCCCGCGCAAACATATCATGTGACGTGCCCATACTTGTCACTCTCTCCCTTTTCGCCCAAGCACTGGAGTTCCGTATACGGCATTATATTGTTTTTGTTTAGGCCTATTCTTCTAAATTAAGCTGTGTATGGATTTGGCTATAATCATTATGTAGTATTTGTAAAAATTTGTAAAAATTTATTAACTTTGAGTCGTAATTTCATCGTCTTGTAAACTTGTTTACATTTCATGAAATCCTGCAGTGTTTGCAGGCACAGATTATCCGTGGCTGATCCTCACCCCAATGTCCTTCGTGTATAGATCCATGTTCCTTCAGCTTGCGCTGTACTCATTGTATTGATTTATCCAATCTACAACTTAATCAATATTTGTCTTATGTTTATAGACGTGCCATGGATCGGGTGAGAAAGGCATCTCAAGTCACGATTGATAAAACTGCAGATCAGCCTACAAACCGTATGTTACTTGCTGCCGATGTTCATAATACTGGTGCTATGCTCAGTACGTTACAGGGCCAGTCTGCTGGAAAGGGGGCCAAGAAGAGATCGTCTACATCTCAGTCTACGCCGTCCCAGACTAAGAAAAAGACGTCATCCTCTTCTACTACGCAGAAGAAGTCTACAATTACCAGATCGGAGGGCAAGGCTATGCGTGCGAGCTTATCTACGCACCATAAATCCTTCAATGAAGAGATTGTATCACCTCACGAAATAGACGTTTTTGACGAACCCCCTATACTTCTACCTGAAATATTTATGAGATCAGCGACGCAGTCGACCTCTACTACTACGAGATCGTCCCCTACTAATGTCACAGCAGGACAGCTGTTCGACATACTACCTCTTACTTCTCGGATTGAAGTTGAGGCACAGAACCCATCAGCGTTCGCGAACGCTTCTACAACACTGCAGCATCGTCAACCTATGCAGAACTTCGACCCTGGGGAATTTATGACGCAATTCACCAATCAAGTGATGGCCATGATGGAACGTAGATTCCAGGAGGAATCGAAGGCTAGGAAAAGCCTCCCATCTACCGACACCGTGCGCAAACCCCCAGGCCTGCGCGTATCTACGGCTATTAGATCTACACCTAAAGGCTACGTTCGCGAACGTACACCTTCGCGAAGGGCTCCACAGTTGGACGACTCTGTCATACTGGAGGATAGTAGAGATGACGCACTACCTAGGTTCGCGAACCCTCAGCGTTCGTGAACCTCGAAGGATTCTGCTCCTACACCTAGCCACTCTAGGTCGAGATCTCCTATCTCACACAGACGTTCGCGAAGCTACTCACCTCAAGCCAGACGTTCGCGAAGGGATAGCTCACCTCACAGAGGTTCGCGAAGAGAGGGATCCACAGAGAGAGGTTCGCGGAGAGAACACTCTCAAGATAGACGTTCGCACAAAGGGAGGAATCCTCAGTTGCAGGTTCGCGAACCCAGGATGAAGGTTTACAAACCAGGGGCTGATATCAAATGTGCCATCGTCAGCCGCTATACGTCTCAGAAGTATAGCAACAAGTCCAAATATTCCGGAATACAGAGAGCTAAGGATAAGAAGTACTCTAACTTGGAGTCTTCCACCCCCAGCCGTTCCTGTAAAACTATCGACAGTGGGTGGACGTCTACAAGGGTACTGGAAAAATTGGGGAATGCTAGAGGACAACTACGCCTCTCAGGTACTAAGAGAAGGATACAAAGTACAACTAAAAGCCACACCTCCGCTAACCCCCAGCCCGATGGTCTTCAACTATGCAGAGGAACAGGCAGACAAACTACAAGAAGCCATCAACGCACTATATATATATATATAGCTACTCATGAAAGATGCTGTAGAGATAATAGATCGGAATCATCTCACTCCAGGCTTCTGTTCCCCAATTTTTCTAGTACCCAAGAAGAACTCCATGGAGAAGTTCAGACTGATTTACAACATGCGCAAATTCAACAAAGACTATCTACTGAAACCAGAGAGGTTCAGAATGATCCACCTACCTCAACTCAAACAACTCGTCCGTCCAGCAGATTACATGGCCAGCATAGACTTGCAGGATGCCTACCTTCACACCCGATACATCAGGAATCAAGAAAGTATCTATGATTCCTATTCAGAGGGCAGCACTTCCAATGGAACGTCCTACCATTTGGAATATCTTCGGCTCCGTGGCTATTCACACGAATAACCAAGCCTATAGTCGCATACCTTCATCATCGAGGTCTCGGACGACGCAATGCCTTCTACTTGGACGACGGAATTCAGGTTCACCAAGATGCCAGTCTACTCAGACTACAACTGAACTTCACAATCAAGTTGCTCACTCAACTAGGAAGGTTGGTGAACCTAAGGAAGTCAGAGTTGGAACCAAAACAAGATCTACAATTCCTGGGGATAAGATTCATCACAACAGAGAATCGGATTGTCATCCCAGAGGATTGATGGGTCAAGATACAAGCCATGGTCCCGCCAGCAGTCATCTCTCCGTTAACACTGCGATCATGGCAAGTTCTACCCGGTCTACTAACCTCGGCGGAGGACTTGACGCGCACAGGAAGGTTACAACTATGACCGCTGCAACGGTTCCTGATAAAACATCTAGACAGCGTCGACCCTATCTTGCTGCCGGAAAACCTCAAGAGGTATCTACTGTGGTGGACACACAGGTCGAACTTTTGCGAAGGAATCTATTTACAAGAGCCGGCCTTCGACACACACCTCTACGCAGATGCCTCGATGCAAAGATGGGGTGCGCATCTCAACGATCAAGTGGCCTCGGGAAAGTCGTCCAAAACGGAACAACAGCTGCACATCAATCTGCTAGAGATGAAAGCAGTGATCAACGCCTTACAAATATGGTCAAGCTTGCTGAACAACAAGATGTTGATGATCCACACGGACAACTCCACAGTGGTGTTCTCCATAAATCGGCAAGGATCCACAAGATCTCCAACTCTGTTGCAGCTCACATTCCAGTTGTTCCAGATTACGCAGGAAGCAAATGTCTGGATAAAGGCGTGTCACATACCCGGAGCCAAGAACGTACTGGCAGACGCTCTCTCAAGACCACTACACCCGTCACCTACGGAATGGATGCTCCATCCAGAAGCGTTTCGGAACATAAGGGAGATAGGATCCCCTTGCATAGATCTGTTTGCCACGAGGTTCAACAAACAACTACAGACGTTTGTCTCACCAGTTCCAGATCCTCAAGCCTGGGCAACAGATGCGCTGAGCATGTCGTGGGAAGGACTAAACGGCTACGCTTTTCCACCCCCGATACTACTGCCAAAAGTACTGTTCAAGATCAAACAGACTCAGACGCTACAACTGACTTTGGTCACGCCCTATTGGCCAGTGAGAGCATGGTTCCCAGACCTAATGGAAGATCTAGGAAACCCAGTAATCAAGTTACCAGATTGGCCGAACCTACTAATACATCCGCACACCAAGCAGGTCCACGGAAACCCAACAGTTTTCCAGTTACACGTGTGGACTGTATCAAAATGTGCTTGAAGAAAAGAGGATACCCCGCCAGAGCAGCCAAAGCAGTAACGCTAGCGTTACGCAGATCGACTCGCAACCTATACGACGACAAATGGCTGAAGTTTGAGACTTATGCAAGGCGGAAAGGCTTCACAGCGATGAAAGCCGCTCATCCTCAAGTGGTGGAATATCTATGTCATCTTAGACAGACCAGACATCTGAAGGGTTCGACACTATCTACATACCTCGCTGCAATCAGTATAGTGATTACTATGAAAACAGGCATCAAGTTGACGAAAGTACCAGAATTACTTGCTCTGCTGAGATCTTTTAAGCTGGAGGACCAGCAAAAGAAATTCAGAGCTCCAGCCTGGGATCTAAATGTAATTCTGCATCATCTTACCAGTGATGTCTACGAACCACTAGATCAGATCACGATCGAGCTGCTAACACAGAAGATGCTGTTCCTGCTAGCGTTAGCCACTGCAGCTCGCATATAAATACATGCGCTGGACTATGGTCAAACCACTTTCGACAGAGGGCAACATAATGCAGTTCACCTAGGACTTAGGTGGGACTTTATTGCCAAGAACCAACTACCTGGTCAACCAGTTAGACAGTTCCACGTATCAGCAACGCTGTCTACAGTCCTCAGCCCACAAGATATAGAGGACGTATCCTTGTGCCCAGTCAGAGCCCTGAAGATATATCTTCAAAAGACTGAGACGAGGAGACGGAAATTCAAGCGCCTATTCATCCCTTTATCAACAGAGATTTCCGCAGAAGTCTCAAGAACAACCATATCGTTCTGGATGAGAGACGTTATATTGAGAGCCTATAAAGCAGCAGGACTAGAACCTCCTAGAGCTTCCAACCCACACGAAGTCAGAGCACAGGCGTCAACACTAGCTTTGCACGGAAATTGCTCTATACCGACAATCATGGAGGGCTGCTTTTGGAAGTCGGACACGGTGTTTGCCAACCACTACCTCCGAGACATAACCACTGAAGACGTCTCAGGCATTCACCAATTTGGACCTCTCGTTGTAGCACAGCAACTAACGGTTCCTCAAAGGCGCTGAGTTGGAAAATCTCACCCTTTATCATGCTGACATGTAGATGACTTTTACTAAGGAAAAGTATTAGTTTGAAAGTCCATGTGCACAGTCTATGACAGGCTAGCATGAGTGATTAAAGATCCTGTACGGGTAAAGATCTTACCTGTACATGAAGGGATCGCAACTCATTTATGATAAAGATCTTATCATAATCTATGGGTTGTTATAAGATATCTAGTAATAGGAGAATACTAGTTTATCTACAGCCACACGAAACAACATGATTCAACTTGTCTAAGTAAGACAAGAAGTGGTCCCCCTGAGTTACAACGGAACTTGGAAGAATAGGACCACGGAATGCTGTTCGCAGTTCCCATGGGGGGGATACAGGACGTATCTATGGACAGCTGTTGAATCCAGTGGCTTGACCCACCACCTTTTCCGACGGATTCTATAAGCAAAAGATCATGAGTCAGGATAAGGAAAAATATGTAATTTTTTAAGTAAAATTGATATGTTATACTTATCCTGACTCATGACGAACAAGCCCTCCCAACCTCCCCGTTGAAGACACTTGAGATTTTACAGCAGATCCAAGTGCATGGGCGGAAAATAAGGAGAGAGTGACAAGTATGGGCACGCCACATGATATGTTTGCACGGGAAAGGGCAAGGGAGGTAGCTCATGGGTGAGTATTTACTTCAAGGGATTGAAGTGTTCCACTACCATTCGAAAGGGAAAGGGAGATAAGCAAAAGATCATGAGTCAGGATAAGTATAAAATATCAATTTTACTTAAAAAATTACATTAAGGCCAGACCAATTTTATTTCTTGTTTTACGGATCCGCTGGTCATATTTTTCCAAGAATAAGAAAAAAAATAAAAATTAATTTCCCTGTTCAAAAATTAAAATCCTTATGTTTTTATTGGCCAAAAATGTAAACTTATAAGAAATTCTTTTTTAATTGTTTTTTGCCCCATAAACACTTCATAAATTGCCAGAAGCAAAATACTTTCAATATTTAGAAGGAATATTACTTTGACTGTTGATTTTATTTTAAGTTTTTTTCCTTCCTGCCTTTAGGTTTTCTGAGGACAAAAATCCGCATAACAAGAAATAAAATTGATCTGGCCTAATTTCGATATTTTTATAATTTTAGTGTCAACTTAAATGATGGGGTTATCAGGATTATATATGGGAACTAATATACAGGCCTGCATACACAATGCCTGTTAGATGGTGGTTGAATGAAACTATATTATATTTGGGATTACACTTTCTTAGTAATGCACCAATTCTAGTGCTGCTATTGGTATACAACAAGCGATACAATGCTTCATGATACTAACATTTTAGGCACAACGATATGTTGCCAAAGTATTGTGCACTTAAGCTGTGATACGATACGAATCCTGATATAAGGGTGGCGATATGATACGTATCACAATACTAAAATCTTTAATTCTAACACCAACTATAAAACATCTTAAGATCAAAGCAAAACGGATTTTAAAGTATTTTGTCAAATTCCGCCAGCGTTGTTCAATGTTCAGTCTGAAACCAGATAATTGATTTTATACACAGACTTTGTGAATGTTTATAACATGCGAGTGCTATGCCTGACACAGTTCTTGGCGCAGGAATTTCCGAGAAAACATTTACTTATCAAGGGAAAATAAGCAGGCATGTGTTTTAATCATCAAACAAAAGTATATCTTTTTTCTTGACAGATATCGCAATTCGACAGTATTCAAAGTTAAACATCGATGTATTGTGGTCCATTTGAAGTATCATATCAGGATGTACAACAATGTAAAACTTTGTATCGATTCACTGTATCTGCGGCCCATGAATTGATTCATTGATACGTATCGATGAATCGTCACACCACTAACCAATTCTAGTACTTTGGGCCCCATCTGTGATTCCAACCCACACCATTAGACTGAGGCACCAAGATTGCCAGCACACAAAGTCAGTGATCTAACTTCGACACTAAGGCTTTCACACAAATGGATTTGTTGCAGACGACTAAATGAGGAGCTTGAAGCCAAGACTGCTAACTTGGTACGTGAAGCAGAGCAAGTCATGGTGAGTAATCAGGGTATAAGGCTTGGCTACCCAAATACGTAGAGCAGAGCAAGTCATGGTGAGCATTCAGGGTATAAGGCTTGGCTACCCTAGTACGTGAAGCAGAGCAAGTCATGGTGAGTATTCAAGGTATAAGGCTTGGCTACCCAAATACGTAGAGCAGAGCAAGTCATGGTGAGTATTCAGGGTATAAGGCTTGGCTACCCAAGTACGTGAAGCAGAGCAAGTCATGGTGAGTATTCAGGGTATAAGGCTTGGCTACCCAAGTACGTGAAGCAGAGCAAGTCATGGTGAGTATTCAGGGTATAAGGCTTGGCTACCCTAGTACGTGAAGCAGAGCAAGTCATGGTGAGTATTCAGGGTATAAGGCTTGGCTACCTAGTACGTGAAGCAGAGCAAGTCATGGTGAGTATTCAGGGTATAAGGCTTGGCTACCCTAGTACGTGAAGCAGAGCAAGTCATGGTGAGTATTCAGGGTATAAGGCTTGGCTACCCTAGTACGTGAAGCAGAGCAAGTCATGGTGAGTATTCAGGGTATAAGGCTTTGCTACCCTAGTACGTGAAGCAGAGCAAGTCATGGTGAGTATTAGGGTATAAGGCAGCTACCCTGATGCGTGAAGCAGAGCAAGTCATGGTGAGTATTCAGGGTATAAGGCTTGGCTACCCAAGTCATGAAAGCAGAGCAAGTCATGGTGAGTATTCAGGGTATAAGGCTTGGCTACCCAAATCGTGGAGCAGAGCAAGTCATGGTGAGCATTCAGGGTATAAGGCTTGGCTACCCTGAATGCGTGAAGCAGAGCAAGTCATGGTGAGTATTCAGGATATAAGGCTTGGCTACCCAAATCGTGAGAGCAGAGAGCAAGTCATGGTGAGTATTCAGGGTATAAGGCTTGGCTACCCAAATCGTGAGAGCAGAGCAAGTCATGGTGAGTATTCAGGGTATAAGGCTTGGCTACCCAAATCACGTGAGCAGAGCAAGTCATGGTGAGTATTCAGGGTATAAGGGCTTGGCTACCCAAATCGTGAGAGCAGAGCAAGTCATGGTGAGTATTCAGGGTATAAGGCTTGGCTACCCTAGTGCGTGGAAGCAGAGCAAGTCATGGTGAGTATTCAGGGTATAAGGCTTGGCTGCCCAGTGCGTTGAAGCAGAGCAAGTCATGGTGAGTATTCAGGGTATAAGGCTTGGCTACCCTGAGTAACGTAAAGCAGAGCAAGTCATGGTGAGTATTAGGGGTATAAGGCTTGGCTACTCCTAGTGCACGTGAAGCAGAGCAAGTCATGGTGAGTATTCAGGGTATAAGGCTCGGCTACTCTAGTACGTGAAGCAGAGCAAGTCATGGTGAGTATTCAGGGTATAAGGCTTGGCTACCTGCAGTAATGTGAAGCAGAGCAAGTCATGGTGAGTATTCAGGGTATAAGGCTTGGCTGCTACCTAGTAATGATTGAAGCAGAGCAAGTCATGGTGAGTATTAGGGTATAAGGCTTGGCTACCCTAGTGCATTGAAGCAGAGCAAGTCATGGTGAGTATTAGGGTATAAGGCTTTGCTACCTGAGTGCGTGAAGCAGAGCAAGTCATGGTGGTATTAGGGTATAAGGCTTGGCTACCCAAGTGCGTGAAGCAGAGCAAGTCATGGTGAGTATTAGGGTATAAAGGCAGCTGCAAAATACATGAAGCAGAGCAAGTCATGGTGAGTATTCAGGGGTATAAGGCTTGGCTACCCTGATGCATTGAAGCAGAGCAAGTCATGGTGAGTATTCAGGGGTATAAGGCTTGGCTACCCTAGTCGTGAAACAGAGCAAGTCATGGTGAGTATTCAGGGTATAAGGCTTGGCTACCCAAATGCGTGAAGCAAGAGCAAGTCATGGTGAGTATTCAGGGTATAAGGCTTGGCTACCCAGGCAAAGTGAAGCACAAGTCATGGGTGGGAGTCAGGGTATAAGCAGAGCCAAGTCATGGTGAGTATTCAGGGTATAAGGCTTAGCTACCCTGAATGCATTAAAGCAGAGCAAGTCATGGTGAGTATTCAGGGTATAAGGCTTGGCTACCCTGAATGCGTGAAGCAAGAGCAAGTCATGGTGAGTATTCAGGGTATGGGCTTGGCTGCCTAGTGCATTGAAGCAGAGCAAGTCATGGTGAGTATTCAGGGGTATAAGGCTAGAGCGGCAGCTACTCTAGTCACGTGAAAACAGAGCAAGTCATGGTGAGTATTCAGGGTATAAGGCTTGGCTACCTAGTGCGTGAAGCAAGAGCAAGTCATGGTGAGTATTCAGGGTATAAAGGCTTGGCTACTGAGTGCACGTGAAGCAGAGCAAGTCATGGTGAGTATTCAGGGTATAAGGCTTGGCTACCCTAGTGCGTGAAGCAGAGAGCAAGTCATGGTGAGTATTCAGGGTATAAGGCTTGGCTACCCTAGTACGTGAAGCAGAGCAAGTCATGGTGAGTATTCAGGGTATAAGGCTTGGCTACCCTAGTATGCGTTGAAGCAGAGCAAGTCATGGTGAGTATTCAGGGTATAAGGCTTGGCTACCCTAGTGCATGAAGCAGAGCAAGTCATGGTGAGTATTCAGGGTATAAGGCTTGGCTACCCTAATGCATTGAAGCAGAGCAAGTCATGGTGAGTATTCAGGGTATAAGGCTTGGCTACCCAAATGTCACGTGAAGCAGAGCAAGTCATGGTGAGTATTCAGGGTATAAGGCTTGGCTACCCAAGTGCGTGAAGCAGAGCAAGTCATGGTGAGTATTCAGGGGTATAAGGCTTGGCTACCTAGTGCATTGAAGCAGAGCAAGTCATGGTGAGTATTCAGGGTATAAGGCTTGGCTACCTAGTGCATTGAAACAGAGCAAGTCATGGTGAGTATTCAGGGTATAAGGCTTGGCTACCCAAGTGCGTGAAGCAGAGCAAGTCATGGTGAGTATTCAGGGTATAAGGCAGCTTGGCTACCCTAGTCGTGAAAGCAGAGCAAGTCATGGTGAGTATTCAGGGTATAAGGCTTGGCTACCCTAGTACGTGAAGCAGAGCAAGTCATGGTGAGTATTCAGGGTATAAGGCTTGCTACCCAATATGTGAAGCAGAGAGCAAGTCATGGTGAGTATTCAGGGTATAAGGCAGCTGCCCAAGTGCGTGAAGCAGAGCAAGTCATGGTGAGTATTCAGGGTATAAGGCTTGGCTGCCCTAGTCGTGTGAAACAGAGCAAGTCATGGTGAGTATTCAGGGTATAAGGCTTGGCTACCCTAGATGCGTGAAGCAGAGCAAGTCATGGTGAGTATTCAGGGTATAGGGCAGCTGCCCTGATGCATTGAAGCAGAGCAAGTCATGGTGAGTATTCAGGGTATAAGGCTTGCTACCTAGTCACATGAAGCAGAGCAAGTCATGGTGAGTGTTATTAGGGTATAGGCTTGGCTACCTAGTGCGTTGAAGCAGAGCAAGTCATGGTGAGTATTCAGGGTATAAGGCTTGGCTACCTAGTGCGTGAAGCAGAGCAAGTCATGGTGAGTATTCAGGGTATGGGCTTGGCTGCAGTGCATTGAAGCAGAGCAAGTCATGGTGAGTATTCAGGGTATAAGGCTTGGCTGCCTAGTGCGTGAAGCAGAGCAAGTCATGGTGAGTATTCAGGGGTATAAGGCTTGGCTACCTAGTGCGTGAAGCAGAGCAAGTCATGGTGAGTATTCAGGGTATAAGGCTTGGCTACTCTAGATGCGTGAAGCAGAGCAAGTCATGGTGAGTATTCAGGGTATAAGGCTTGGCTGCCCAAGAATGCAGTGAAGCAGAGCAAGTCATGGTGAGTATTCAGGGTATAAGGCTTGGCTACCCACAATGCGTTAAAGCAGAGCAAGTCATGGTGAGTATTCAGGGTATAAGGCTGGCTACCTCTAGTGCATTGAAGCAAGAGCAAGTCATGGTGAGTATTCAGGGTATAAGGCTTGGCTACCTAGTGCGTGAAGCAGAGCAAGTCATGGTGAGTATTCAGGGTATAAGGCTTGGCTACCCAGATGCATTGAAGCAGAGCAAGTCATGGTGAGTATTCAGGGGTATAAGGCTTGGCTACCCTAGTGCGTGAAGCAGAGCAAGTCATGGTGAGTATTCAGGGTATAAGGCTTGGCTGCCCAGAGTGCAGTGAAGCAGAGCAAGTCATGGTGAGTATTCAGGGTATAAGGCTTGGCTGCCCAAGTGCGTGAAGCAGAGCAAGTCATGGTGAGTATTCAGGGTATAAAGGCTTGGCTACCCTAGATGCATTGAAACAGAGCAAGTCATGGTGAGTATTCAGGGTATAAGGCTTGGCTACCCACAAGTGCATTGAAGCAGAGCAAGTCATGGTGAGTATTCAGGGATTATAAGGCAGCTGCCTAGTGCGTGAAGCAGAGCAAGTCATGGTGAGTATTCAGGGTATAAGGCTTGGCTGCCCTAGTCATTGAAGCAGAGCAAGTCATGGTGAGTGTTGGGTATAAAGGCTTGGCTACCCTAGTGCATGAAAAACAGAGCAAGTCATGGTGAGTATTCAGGGTATAAGGCTTGGCTGCCCTGAGTGCATTGAAGCAGGAGCAAGTCATGGTGAGTATTAGGGTATAAGGCTTGCTGCCCCTAGTGCGTGAAGCAGAGCAAGTCATGGTGGTGTTGGGGTATAAGGCTTGGCTACCCCAAGTCGTGAAAGCAGAGCAAGTCATGGTGAGTATTCAGGGTATAAGGCTTGGCTACCTAAGTCGTGAAGCAGAGCAAGTCATGGTGAGTATTAGGGTATAAGGCAGCTGCCCTAGTGCATTGAAGCAGAGCAAGTCATGGTGAGTATTCAGGGGTATAAGGCTTGGCTGCTCTGATGCGTGAAAGCAGAGCAAGTCATGGTGAGTATTCAGGGTATAAAGGCTTGGCTACTCTGAGTACGTGAAGCAGAGAGCAAGTCATGGTGAGTATTCAGGGTATAAGGCTTTGCTGCCCTGATGCATTGAAGCAGAGCAAGTCATGGTGAGTATTAGGGTATAAGGCTTGGCTACCCTGAGTGCGTGA